GATTAAGGAAAACAAAATAAATTTCTATGCTAAAATTCCTAAAAACAATAAAAGCCTAAAAATCCTAGAAAATTACGATTTTAAAAAAAAACGAAACAAATAACTAAAGAAGCACAAAAATAAATTAACACCACTCCCCGACAACGGCGCCAAAATTTGGTGTGCTGTCGTAGGCACCCAAAATTAGTCCTTAAACCTCTAAAACTAATGTAGTAATGGAAGTAAGGGTCGATCCCTCTGAAGTATGCACTTGACCTTATCACTAATTTAGGTTTGCCTCTGAATAGCGTTCGGTATTTCGGTCATAACTTTCTCCACAGGTATCCGATTGAGTTGATTCAAAATGAGTTAGAAAGCTAACTCAAAGGGCTACAACTTTACTTCAGATACCATCTTCCAATTTGATCGTTTACTATATCAAAAATGGATCTCAAACTGAGACTGAAAATCCGATGCATAACTTTTCGATTGGAAGTAGATGTGTGATCATACTTTGACGATATTTCACTCCCTTGACTTCTTTCTTCATTCAATTGACTTCTAACATTCTCAAATTTTCATCATTTGGTTTGACACAACTTTTTCATATTTTCACGTTAGTCCTTGAACTTTCATTTCCTTGAACTTTGGTCAATTTTCACATATTTTTTTCAAATTACGCTATATCCATCAACTTGCCACCTAAACCAAAATATGAGAATACTAAGTACATTTAGACATAAAATAGTCATATGNACTAAGTACATTTAGACATAAAATAGTCATATGAGCGCATTAAATAAAGATGTAAAATGTGTATTTTACATTCCTATAGCGAACAATGTGACAATCGATATCAAGATGTTTAGTCCGCTCATGAAAAACTGGATTGGCACAAATGTGAAGTGCCGCCTGGTTGTCGCACCATAGAGGAATCGGGAGAGGAACTGAAATGTGAAAATCCTGTAAAATGTAATGAATCCATTGTAATTCACACACAGTTGTTCCCAAGCTTCTGTATTCTGCCTTAGCTGAACTCCTAGAAACCGTGGTTTGTTTTTTAGTCTTGCAAGAAATTAAAGCTCCTCCAAAGAAGATGCAATATCCGGTTAAAGAGCGTCGAGTGTCAGGGCAAGTAGCCCAATCTGCGTCGCTGAAAGCTTCCAAAGCAAAATTGTTAATGACAGGAAAGAATAAACCTTTTGACAAAGCACCCTTAAGATACCGTAAAATGTGTAATGCTGAATTCCAATGAGCAACTGAAGGATTCTGCACAAACTGACTTAATTGTTGAACACCAAAGGTAATGTCTGGTCTGGTAAGAGTGAGATAAAGTAGACGGCCAACAAGTCTTCGAAATTGCTCAGGATCAGAGTGAGGTTCCTGATCAGAAACAAAAAACTTTTGACCCTTAGGTAATGGTGTAGAGACACTCTTTGCACCCAAAAGACCAGCATTAGTGATAAGGTCAAGTGCATACTTCCGTTGATTTAAGTATGTTCCTTCGAAGGATCTTGCAATTTCAATGCCAAGAAAATATTTGGCATAGTTTAAATCCTTGATAGTGAAAGCCTTGTATAGAGATTCCTTAACACGACTGATCCCCAACTCATCAGTCCCAGTAAGAAGCAAATCATCAACATAAACAAGCAGGGCAATGAAGGAAGTGGATTGATGTAGAGTAAAGAGGCAATGATCATGTTGGGACTGTTGAAACGCAAAAGCGATTAGATGTTTACATAACTCAGAATTCCATTGTCTGCTTGCTTCCTTCAAACCATACAGGGATTTTTTAAGCTTACAAACCTGGCCCACAGCTGCTTGATCATAGCCTTGAGGTGGCCACATATACACCTCTTCATCCAACACTCCATGTAGGAATGAATTGTTAATATCGAGTTGACAAATAGGCCACTGTCTGCGGTAGCAATGGCAAAGAATAATCGAATAGTCACAGGTTTTGCCACTGGAGAAAAACTCTCAAAAAAATCAATCCCAGGGACTTGATTAAAACCTTTTGCAGCTAACCGTGCTTTACATCTATCCAATGTGCCATCAGCCTTAAGCTTTGCTTTAAAAACCCACTTACAGCCTATTGCCTTTTTACCAGATGGCAATGAAGTCAATTCCCAAGTATCATTTTTCTCCAAAGCATCAAGTTCTGCCCTCATAGCCTTTGTCCATTGCATCCCTATATGAAGTTGGCTCTTGGATAGTAGTAATGTTAGCCAAATAATCAATATATGCAGGAGTAAAGTTGAGTGAAGTGTAGTAGGGAAAAGTATGAGGGGTGAAAGATGAAGAAGATGGAATAGAAAATTGGGAAGACATGCTGGGAATGTGATTAGTGTGGCTAAGATTGGACACAAAATCCTGCATCCACCTGGGAGTAATATTTGTTCTTGTGCTTTTCCTGATGCAAGGTTGATTATGAGTAGGATTAACAGATGTTAGTGTGTCAAGAAGAGGTGAAGAACCATTGCTAAGATCATCAGTGGCAGCAGGCAGACTAGCAGGATTAACAAGCAAATCAGAATCGTCATCAGTATTGTTTTCAGACGTGGTATGATCAAACACAGGAATAGGAATAGGTGAAGTTTGGTCAGGGATAGAATTGTCTTTGTAGGGAAAAATATTCTCATGAAAAATAATATTACGAGATATATATATCTGCCGATTTTCAAGATTATAGACTTTATAACCTTTTTTTCCAGGACTATAACCTATCATGACACACTTAAAACTTCTAGGGAAAAACTTATCCTTGAAAGGTTGAGTATTAGTGGCATAGCAAAGGCACCCAAACACCTTGAGGTTATCGTATGAAGGAATTTTATTGTGGAGTACCTGAAAGGGTGTTTTCCAGTCAAAAATTTGTGTAGGTAACCGGTTAATAATGTAAGTATCCATCAAAATGGACTCTCCCTAAAAGAACTTAGGCAGATTGGCTTGAAACATAAGAGCCCTTGCAACTTGCAAGAGATGTCTGTGCTTCCTCTCAACAACATCGTTTTGTTGAGGTGTGTAGACACAAGTTTTTTGATGCACTATACCTTTGTCAATAAGAAATTTCTGAAATTCTGAATTGACAAACTCAGTGCCATTGTCAGATCTCACACATTTAATATCTATGTTAAATTGAGTTCGGAAAAATTGATGATAAGCTTTGAAGGTATGTAGAACTTGAGTCTTATGCTTGAGGAGAAAAGTCCAAGTAGCTCTACTCAGATCATCAACAATGGTTAAAAAATAATGTGCCCCTGTTATGGAAGCCTGTTTGTAGGGTCCCCAGAGATCAAGATGAATCAATTCTCCAACCAATTGAGTTTGTATCACACTTTTTTTAAATGGTAGTCTAGGTTGTTTGGAAATGGCACAAATGTCACAATAGGGAAGTAAATCATTATCAGAAATATCAAAAATGTCTAAATGTTTCATAGCAACTTCAGAAACGTGTCCCAACCTTTTGTGCCATAGAGTTAAAGATTTATCGAAAACAACATTAGAAGACACAGGTAAATTTTCATATTGAGGAAAAGCAGAATTACAAATGGATGTTTTGAATTTATTTAGAACTGATGAAGTAAAAGAGGTCTTATCCAGAACATAGAGATTTCTGACTAGTCTACCAACTGCCTTGAGTTCTTCAATCCGATGGTCCTGTAAAAGGCAGTAGTTATCGAAAAAAATAAGTTTCATCTTTGAAGTTTTTGTTAACTTGCTGACAGACAACAAATTGAACTTGAAGGTAGGGATATGTAAAACATCTTTCAGAGTAATGACAGGGTGAATTTGAATATCTCCAGTGTGCTGAACAAAATTGATAGATGCATCAGGTAGGTATACTGGAATGGCTGAAGTGCATTGCTTTGGTTTCTTAAAAAAATTTAAGTTGTTGCACATATGATTAGATGCCCATGTGTCTAATATCCAAGAACCTACTTCTAACAGGTTTGAAGCATTTAAAGTAAGAATAGCATCAGGTTTGAGCACAGAACCTGCAAAATCATCAAGATGAGCAAAATTAATCATGTCATTTCCATTGCTTCCTTTCATCATTTTTACCAATTCCTGTTGGATCATCTCTGACAAATTAAATTTCTAAAACTTATCCTTCACCTCCTGATCTGTTTCAAACGGTGTATTAGCCATGTTTGCTGAATACTTCAGATTTCCAGATCTGTTCTGATTCTTTAACTGCTTGAACCAATCCGGATAGCCTATAATTTTGAACTAGCCATCCTTGTTGTGACCATTGACCTTGCAATGAGTACAATATAATAATTGTTTCTCCCTTTTTATCATTTCATAATTCTTCCCTCCCATAGGTCTGACTCCATGATCCTTCTTCAAGTTATTTGCCTTAAAAAACATGTCACTCATTTCAGTTTCATTACCAAAGGCTATGTGTACCCCTTTTTGTTTTTCAATTCTCTGGATCATAGCATAGGCTTTGTTAACAGTAGGTAAGGGCTCCATAACCAAGATCTGGCTTTGAACTTGTTCGTATTCCTCATTTAATCCCATGAGGAATTGCATCAACCTGCTAAATGAAGTTATATCTGATACTGCCTTAGCTGATCCACAAGTACATTCAGGTAATGGCATAAGACATGTCAACTCATCCCATAGACCTTTCAATTTTGTGTAGTACTGAGATATTAATTGATTGCCTTGTGTCATTGAGCAAATTTCCCTCTGTATCTGGTATAACTGTGGACCATTGCAACTACCAAACCTCTCTTCCAATTCACTCCAGAGCTCCTTAGCAGAATTAGTGTATAAAAAGGCATCAACAATATCTTTTGAAATAGAATTTAAGATCCACGAAGTTATCATACAATTGACTCTATCCCATTTCACAAATTGAGGTGAATTCTTAGCTGGAGATTCAATTGTTCCATCAATGAACCCTAGCTTCATTTTAGCACCCAGTGCAATTCTAACTGACCTACTCCAAACCAGAAAGTTCTTCCCGGTAAGTGGTACAGTAACAAGTGACATACCAGGATGATCTGAGTTACCTAACTGAAGTGGATCTCCTTCATCAGCTTCGCGACGACCTCCATTAGCTCGCGGATTAGTATCTTCTTCTAATTCGTTATCCATCAAAAATTGAATCACTAATCACTAGTGATCACTGTGTATCAGATCCTATCTTCAGAATCTTCCTGTTCTGATACCATGAACAAATCGAGAATTGAAGAAGAAGCAATTCTTATTTTATTGAATCTTAATCAGAGAATGAGCCCAACACACAGTATAAATGCATCAGCCGAAAACAACCATAACAGACACTTACAGCTGATTTGCACTTTAGGTAAGAAACTATCAAATAGAAACAAAGAAGGACTTAAAGTATAATTGCACGTAAGGTCCTGAAGAAAACAAAATGTGAACATTTAGTACTAAAATTCTACAGGGTTTGACAAGAGAATCCCTACAGCTAAAGTGGCTGTACATGGAGATCCCTACAGCAAAATGGAAGGTCAAGTGGCCTAACAAGATTTTTGTAAAATTGATTACGTGAATTTTATTTTATATATTCTATTCTGTTAGACTTATTACTATGTGATTTACTGTAGTAGAAAGATTTATGTCATAAAACATAATAAACTTTTAAATGGAGTGTTAGTTTTCATTAATCCTCTCATTTTATTCGAACTTCAAAACCGACTATTTGAGATATATTACAAAGAGAGTAAATAGATAAATAAATGTGGCTTGGAACGGGAGAATATTCTGTGTACAAAAAGAAAAGATGTTGCATAGCCGCATAATTCATGAGGCGGTTGTGGGATCCAAATCTAAGTGGATTAAACAAAGGCTTAATAGCGCCAAACGTCCCTACGTTTGACCTTTATTGTGGAAAACGTCCCTACGTTCCATTTTTTTGCATTTTCGCCCTTATTTCAATGTTTCCTTGCGCTGAACGTCCTTTTTACTGATTTTCAAGGTAAAATGACTAAAATACCCTTCTTTTTAAATAAAAGAGAAAAATAAATTGCAACTATATGCCCTAACGTTTTAAAAAGTGCCAAATAACCCAACCACTTCACCTTCTTCCCACATCTCATCCCCACTGCCGCCGGCGACTTCAAAGCCAAATTCGACCACCATACCACCGCCCAAACAACCGGATTTTTACACCACCAACACCTTCTCATCCCACTCTACAATCCTATACCAACAAAACGCTCCAACATCTCGAGATTTGGTAGAAATTGCAAGCCAAAAGACCCATCCCGAGAAGCCAAAAACA